CATCTGTTTAGCTCACATGCACGTGGTAGTGCTCGTTTACTGAAGAATAGAGGAAGTTTGGAGGAGAATGCAGAAGGCTCATGCACTCCTGACAACAAAATGGAAATATTTCCATGGCTTTCTAACATTTACAGATGAAGGATATGCCTGTGAAATGCACTGAGGAAAACACCACATCTCAAATGCATTAAACGGCGCAAGTATCTGTCAGCACATGTATCCGTCAGAGCATCCGCTATTTTTCAGATGAGCTTGTATCAAACGACTGTATATCGATATATACCGCATTGCCGAAAAAATATATTGATATACCGCCTCAGTAAGATTTTTCATTTTTTTGAAAAACACTCATTTAGCAAGGACACATTCATTTGATTAAGTGACAGTATCATTGATGAAAAAAAGACAAGACTAAAATGTATTTAAAAATTAAAAACTTTACCAACATCTTTTTATTTTTGTCAAAAAAAAAATGAGAGAGAAAATACTATGGACTGCTGTCCATGTCTCTACTACTCGACTGCTTTCATGTTTGTGTATGCCAGATACTAAAAGGGTCCTATTATGCTCTTTTACAAAGTCTTGATTTTGTTTTGGGGGTGTACTAGAACAGGCTCTCATACTCGGTTGTTCGAAAAATCTTTTTTTTTCACATATTTTACATTATTACAACACCTCTCTCCCCAGTCTGGCATGAACGGCTCGAATAGATCCTGTATCAAATGAAGGCCCGCCTTCTGAAATACGAAATGTGCTGTGATTGGTTAGCTGGGCCAGTGTGTGTTGTGATTGGTTAGCTGGGCCAGTGTGTGTTGTGATTGGTTAGCTGGGCCAGTGTGTGTTGTGATTGGTTAGCTGGGCCAGTGTGTGTTGTGATTGGTTAGCTGGGCCAGTGTGTGTTGTGATTGGTTAGCTGGGCCAGTGTGTGTTGTGATTGGTTAGCTGGGCCAGTGTGTGTTGTGATTGGCAGCACTCGGCGCCTGCTCGGGAAATGTCACGCCCCTTACCATAGCTGCCTGCCAGCTTCAGTGTAAATATTGCGTCAAAATCAAATCAATTTGAGTGCGATTTAAACCCGGATGATTGTAACCACTAAGTTTGTCTGCCTCGGGAAAGCTAGCGTGTCTCCGACATAGTGATAACACTCCTTGCCTTCTCTAGTGCAGCTCAACCAGGTCTCGTCCCATTCGCCGATATTTGTGATATCACAAATCCCGGAAAATATGAGTTGTAGTCCAAAAGAAAGGAAAAAAAAGTGCTAAAAATCTCCTTTTCAAGTGGACTTTGAACTTTGCAGATCTTTTTTATGCTCAAACAGCAACATTATAGACTAACTAAAGTTAAAAAACATAATAGGACCCCTTTAAGAGTTCAAATTCCCAGATCAGAGCGTATCTGATAAAAGGATACATTTTCTGCCCGGTGCTTTATTTAATTTTTGCAATTTGGCAACCACACGCGTGCGCTCGGAGTTTAGCTGTCTTTCATGCGAGATATTCTGCCTAAATTAAAGTGTTTTATAATATTTTTTGTTTGTCTTACCTGTATTCATAATGTAGACAGAGAACATTTATATCTAAGTCTTTGATATTAATTTATATAATAGATACCTGCGTATGAGTTGACATTCTATTGATTTGTGCTTATTGGTGAAAAGTGCAATACTTTTAACGAAATGTAAAAATACATTTCTCAAATGAAAACAATCATTGGGATTATAATTGAGATTTTTTTTTAACCATTATTACAGCATGATGAAAATGTGCTTTTAGTGTCATTGACTGAAACTAGACTAAAATGCTCCGACATATAGACTAAACTAAAACTTGACTAAACAAAAGCAAAGACAAGGTTGACTAAATATGACAATTAAAAAGTATATTTGACACAGGACTAAGACTAAATTAATACTACTTTGAAAAAAAAATATGCATCACAGTTCCGACTATTTTCAACATTTATAATAATAACTTTTTCTTAAGCACCAAATCAGCATATTACAAAGACTTCTGAAGGATGCGACACTGAAGACCGGAACCTTTATTTTTAAAAGTGTATGACCATTCACATAAGCTTCACCCAGTTGGTAGAAAACACAAAGCAGTGTACAGTTAACACAAGCTAATCAAACTCACCTGGTGCATTTGCCTTCACACAAGGATGTGACGATCAACTACTTGCCGTGGTGTTCGAAGGGAATGCTATTCTGGGGTGAAGAGAGAGAACATTACAGCCTTCCACCCCCACAACACACTACTCACACCAACCCATAAATCATACCGTGCCTACTGTCCATCATATTGAAAGAATATATGCTGCTGAAATATCTTTTCCCAGAAACACAAACGTTAGGTCAACAGCTTCCTAGAAAAGGCTTTTCAACTACCTAATAAGCAGATTAAATTTTAAGCTCAAATGTCACCAATCAGAAACTCTAATAGAGATCATGAGAATCAAAAGGTCAAACAATAAAAGATGTACTAACATTTCATCAGGTATTTATTTTTGTGAACAATTTTTATGTGTAGAAATAAGTAAACATCAAAACAGATCATTCAGATACCGACTGGCTACTTTTGTAATAGGGTTTATTATTGCTCTGCTGAAGGCTTGGATGAGCAGGGTCTGCCTTATACCTGTGATGTGGACATGCGGGAAGTGTCTTGACGCCCCGTCAGGTCCGAGGACGACACGTTCACTGGGGCGCCACGATGAAGCCGCATGCTGACCTTACGTTCGCGCTCCATGCCAGTGACCGGTCTCGGTGAGGATGTGTTCGCTGTGAGATGAGATGACTCCTTACAGTGTTTCAAGTACTTGGGAAGTGGCAGAGGCAAGTGAAAGACTGTTTACCTGTGTGAGAGGTGGGTGTGAGGGGGGTGGGAGGAGCTCCCTCCTGTGTGGGGCGAGGTCTGCCTGAGGCTGCTGGGATACCACGAGCTGCAGGATTCCTGCTGTGCCTCATCCGCTCATCTCGCTCTCTCCTCTCACGTTCTGCCTCCTCTGTTGTACGGTTGGCGCCCTGAGAGAGGGTACATGCAACATTATAAGACACAGAAGCAAATAGTGCTACATGAAGTGCACAGGAGACTTAACACAATTGATTCCAATACGCTAGTACAGTGGTTCTCAAACCTGTCCTGGAGTACCCCCAGCCCTGCACATTGTGTATGTGTCCCTCATCTATCACACCTGATTCAACTCATCAGCTCTTTAGTGGAGACTGCAAGACCTGTAGTGGGCGTGTCAGATATAGGGAGACATACAAAATGTGCAGTGCTGGGGATACTTCATGGAGAGGTTTGAGAACCACTGCTCTAGTACATATTCCATTCCAAAAAAACAACAACTCTCTACATACCTAACAAATACAGGAAAAAATATATATCAGTAGTGAAGTACACAAACATTCAAAAGTTTAGGGTCAGCAAGATTTGTTTTAAAGAAATATTTTATTCAGCAAGGATGCATGAAATTGATCAAAAATGACAGTAAAGATGTTAAGATGTTCATAAATGTACAGCATTTATTTGAAATAAAAGTATTTATTCAAAGAAACTTGGGGTGGGGGGCAGCGAAACAGCACATTACAATGTGAAAAATCTTGTGAATTTGCACTCTATTGCTAGTCCGGGTTTGGGTGAAGGCTACAGTTTGTCCGGGCAGAACAATGATGTCTCACTCAAACCTGGACTAGCAATAGAGTGCAGATTCACAAGATTTTGGTCTTTCGAGCTGGATGACAGGGGTGACTGGAAGAGTCCATGTATCGAAGGGGGGATACTTTCTACAGAATGATTTATGAAGGATCGCGTGACCCTGAATACTGACACTGAACACTTCAGAGTAATGGCTGCTGAAAAATTCAGATTTTTCATCACAGTAATGTTACATTTTAAAATACATTTAAATAGAAAAATCACATGTAGATGGCCATCTTGTGTAGATGGCAATTGAGAATAATTGAAAGCCACGATTACTGCAGTTTAGGTCTGGGCGATATAACGTTATCGGTATTTATCGAAGATACACCATCATCGATAACGATTGAAAACATTTTCGATATAGCGCACGATAGTTTCACGCTTTTTTTCATTTAAAGGCTCGTGTTATGAGTGACAAGCAGACAGGCAACAGAACACACACAAACATGCTGAAATGAGTGCCGTGCCTGAATGCAATGAGGAGACTATGAAAAAAAAAAAGGAATATTAGTCGAATTTAAAATAAAAATTCGCATTCGAATGCAAAAACTGTGTATTTGAATTTTAGGTGTGCGTCCGGGAGCCTTATCAGAGGCGCGCGAGATGCGATGATGATGTAAGTGTCGTTGCATTTTAATGTTTTTGTTAAGACTATCCAGTGGAACCCACAAGATGTGCCACTGCTGCATTTTTCATTCAAAATATTAGAGAATTATAGAAGGTCAATGCGGAGATGATATTGGTTAGGTTAAAACCGAAACCAAGCCATTCACACAGAACACATATTCAGAGCCTTTTTGAGACGGACAATTATGACTGCTGCACTCACGTCTTACTCAAGAGATGTATAGAAAGTCATGCAAAGTTAAAACAGTTTAAACTTTTAGAAAACACGTCACAAATTTGTGGAGGTTTATTCCTTTTCACTGCGTCTCATATGTTTTTAAATGCAGTCTGTGTGATCGGCGCTTCGGCTCTTTGGATTAAGCAATGCATAAATACATGATGCTGTTTTGTTCATAATTGTTTATGCAATTTATGAAATTATATTTGATTTTTATGAGTTGATTTAGACGTAATGCACGTTTTTTTAGAGTTACTTCCTTGCGTTGACCATTTAAATGCGCTGCATTATTGTGCTCGTTACACAAGTTTCACAATTTGAGTTGAATTACTGAAATAAATGAACTTTTCCATGACATTCTAATTTATTGAGATGCACCTGTACATGATGCCGTTTTGTTCATAATTTTTTTTGGCCATTTATATAAAGCTATACCTAAATACATGATGCTGTTTTGTTCACAATTGTTTATGCAATTTACGAAATTATATTTGATTAACAAATATTAGTTTAGACTGTATGCACTTTTTTATAGACAGCCGTTATTTCAAAGCATTGAACAGACAACTTAATGAGGTGCATTATTTTTCTCATTGTGCCCTCCAGTGGCCTCAGGAGACAGGCCAAATGTTTCCTTAATCTGCATATGAAATATAAAAAAAGGAGATATTTGCTTCAATTTTATTTTGTGTTTGACTGTTAAAACTAAAATAAGTTGTGCGTTTTAATAAATTGGGTAAATTAAAAATACAGTGGTTAAATGTATCCCTTTTTTCTACTGCTCTTTAAGAAAGGTTGTAAAAAAATTTCAATAATTATCGATACCGAATGATATGAAACATT